GACAATACTTTTACTATGTTTTTAATTTTTTGGAAAATAATTTTCAAGCAGAAATTACAGTAGTTTTTTTTTTTTTTTAAATTGAGGTAATACTGGTTTACAACACTGTATTATTTAGAAGTAGCCTCAATACTACAATCAGACTTCTGAGGTTATTGGTTTGGTTTTATCTGGCTTTTGTTTCTTCATTTTTAAAAAAGATTTATTTCTGCATACAAGAACTGGAATATAGGCCAGAAGTATGGGGAGGGTGAGAGGATTTACCAGAGACAGAGTGGGGAATAGAACAGGCGGTTCAGCTGCGTTGCACTGCTGAGGGGAGCAGCAGGTGGGACAGGAGAGTCTGCTGCGGGATGTGGGCCTCTCCCACTGGGGATTGAACTCACGCTGCAGTGACTGCGGGTAACTTCATGGTGCTGAGACTTAATGCCTTGTGCTACCCGGCGGCCCTGATTCTCTGTGTTCTGCATGCGACACCATCTGCTCTTTGTCTTTCTCCTACTGACTTACTCTTAGCATGAGACGATTAAATGGAGAAGCCATTCGATGTGCTCACTACATTGCTGCCTCCCAGTGTTCAGGAGGCCAGTGAGGCAAGGCCCTGTGGGCGCTGTGGGGGTTTCTCGCGGCGCAGGCCCGCTTACTGCATGGCAGGAGGGAAGGGTTGCTTCCTTCAAGCCCCTCCTGTGCGCAGTGTCAGAGCCTTTCAGTGGTCACCTTTACTCGCTAACTGTCATCTGGACATTTTAGGTATCTGTCAGTCACAGTATTCTTGAGTAGTTTCTGCATTGGTTTTCCATGCTAGACCCGCAGACATCTCAAAAACAGAGGCCAGTGTTACTTACCTGCAGGGGACCTTGACCAGCAAGGCCGGAGAGTCGGGGCCCCAGGTCCGGCGAACAAAGGAAGCAGTCACACGCGTGTAGCAGAACAAAGAAAGAGCCCTTTATTAGGTTTTTATCTCAGCTTTATACAGGAGGAGAGGGATGCCAGGAAGGGAGAAGGCCAATAGAAATGTAACATGTTTTGGTAGCAGTTGGTCTCGCGAGGGGCGAAAGTGGGCGAGAAAAGAAAGAGGAAAGGGAAAAGGTGGGGGCAGGGAGCTCCTCCCACATGCCTTTTGCAACCCGGATGTTTTTCTCTATCTGGTTCCCACATGCCTTTTGCAACCCGGATGTTTTTCTCTATCCGGACTCCATTTCACCTTTTTATGGCTGCTGACAGACGCCAGATGCCGGCCTCGGTCCCCAACACTTACCTGCTCTCAGTGCCTAGAGGAGGGATGACTTTGGGATGATGGTGTAAGGTGTTTTAGGCTTCAGGGCATGTTGGGGCCACAGCAAACTGTCTTTTGTGATGGAAAATGCATCACTCCTCTCTGGATTCATTGGAGAAGTCACCAAAAATGTCTTTGATGTCTCCCCAAGAGTCCATCTCTGCTCCCCACACACCCCAGCCCCTCGTCTGCTTCCTCTCCAGCCCTCTGGATGCCGCTGCTCCCAAACGCCCTTGATTCCAAGCTGGGGCTGGTGCTGAGCTTCATAGCCGCCGTCTCCGAGTCCGCTTGGTGGCTCTCACCCCGCTGACTTGCAGGGAATACCTGAGTGTACTGAATGGCTCAAAAGAGAAAAGAAGGTGTTCTGTAGGAAACATTTTCTCAGAAAATATCACTGGATGGTTTGTAAACATGCTGACTACTTGAAACCACCTACTGTGAAGTTTATGGCATGGAAATTTTGTTTTTTTATTCATAGAAATCAAAGTTTTGAATCTGCCAGCCTTGGTTCTAGCTTCCAGTGTAGAAACTGTGTGTAAAGCTTTGTGTCAAACAGCCAAGGCCCCTGAGAAAGATGTTGCCTTGTTACTTCTTCATTCATGTGATGAAAATGGATGGTGAAGATCCAAGTCATTTATGTTAGTCAGTATTTTGACCAAATGTCTTGGCCACAGGTCAGTGACCCGGTTGTGTTTATAGGATGGGCTTTTGACCAGCATTCTGAGGATTAATGAGTTCTCACTGATTATGAAAATCCCTTCTGAAGAGAAGCTATAGTTTGGCCCGGGACAACTAGGCTTGCAGAGGTGAGAGAGTGCTGGCCCATGTCCCCCTCATGCCTCACGTGACAGTTGGCAACACTCCTGTTGATAGTGTCAGGCAGATTGCCTAGTAAATCATGAGTCTTGTCCAGAGTTATCACTGCTGGCTGGGCAGCCGGGCAGCCTGCCATCGGGGGTGCAGTGCCTGGCGCGCAGCTCAGCTGTTTACCAGTCCTGGTAAATGTGGTTACCGACCTGGTCTGCACTATGTGCTTCCGTGCGCCTGAAGGGAGAGTGTTATGAAGGAAGAGTTCTCTGAAAAAGATATTTGTAGGTATTTTTAAAATTGAGGGCTGGTTTAAAGTCTGCAAAACTGTCCTGAGGATTTGTCCTATATGGTCTTTTCATCAGTTTTGTAGCAATCCAAAACTTAACCAAGTGGTTTTGATTCTTTAGTCAGCAAATCTCTATAACCCTTAGACATTTGAAAACAATAGCTGTTGTGCTTAAGTATCGTATGTCTTTTTTTTTTTTTATAATGACAGAAAACTGTCATTTGAACTGGTTTATTTTACCTGGAAATCAGAAGCATGGAGGATGGGGTGAGGGGGGTGAGCATCAAAGGATGTCTTTGACGAGGAATACTATTAAATGTAAATCATCGTAGCGGCACAGGGCTTCCTCCGCCTCGTCACATTCTCAGAAACTGGACTGCCCGTCCTCTCTTCCCTCCACACACTGTCAGTCCATAGTTGAGCATGGTCTGTGTCTGAAGCCTTGTACCTGCTTCTCTCACCACGAGGGCCAAGTGACAGGTAGACAGACCCCGAGAGCACCCCATGTGTACATTGTAGACGCCGCCCGGCAGAGCTGGCGCGGTGTCAGCTGCGGCGCGCGGGGTACCCGCCATTGCACGGAAGGCCCCGCCGTCGGCGTCACGGTCCCCTGAGCTGCTGGGCTGTCCGTGCGCGGCGTGTGACTGTGTGGCGAAGCAAACTGGCTGCTAGGGAGGTTCAGTAGACAGGGCTACCTCAGTAACTGGAATTGTAACGAAAAACGTTTCTTGGGCCTTCGTTCATTTTCTTTCCTGTTGGGTTGGATGTTCTGCTCTTATATGCTCTGTGTAAATTTATGTGCTCATTTTCTTTTCTACGTGATGTTCTCTTCTATCTTCATTGAATATACGTTTCATTTTTTCTTTTTCCTCCAACCCCCTTCTTCATCTTGTTTACATGGTACTGAATTGACAGATATTGCCGGGACCGAGATAGTGAATGAAGTGTCTGGAAGAAGATACTCAACAGGCCAGCTCTGCTCAGAGTAGAATCTGTTCAGTACAGTAGAGCAGAGATTGGTCAATGAAGTGTTGCAGTTTGGAGGAGAAGAGCTCGGCCCCACGAGGGGCTGTTACTCATCATTCCTTATGAAAAGGGAAGTTCAAGTGTTATTGTGCCTTACTGGGAATTAGTATCGCTTAAGTGTGTCTCAGAATTTTGAAAATCAATTGATTCTTTGCCAAGAGACTTAGATGAGGACTGGGGAGCAAACTCAAATAACATTTCAGTTACTTTCAAACATGGTTGAAACATGTTTATCACATGTGCAGGGCAGTGGGGAACTGAGGGCCCATTCCATTACTTATTCCTTACCATTTTGTCCTGCAAGCGCCTGAAAATTGAAAGGGCATTTTTAAAATTGTCTTGAGTCAACACTCTTTGTGTGCTTGTGTGCACAGACTCAGTACACGAGTTGAATGTAGTGAGGAATTCCTTTCCACCTAGCTGCTTAGAGACGAGGGTCACCAGCGGCCGAGTCCACTCCTCCAAGTGTAAGCTGGAGGAAGAAGGAAGCGATAAAAAGCGTCTTGGGTTTAGGTTTTCTTTTTTTGTTTGTTTTTGGGTTTTTTTTTTAATCTTTTCTAATCAGTGTGGTAAAGGTGAGGAAAGAGATTTTTCAGAGCTGTTTCCATGTGTTTAAATTGTTTAAAAATAATTTTTGTTTATTTAAATATGAGGTATTTCTTAAAATTTGCCATTCTGTATTTTGTTAGGGTCACTGCATAACCCAGCAGTGAGGTATTTGGAAGTAAGTTAGCAATTTAGGAGAAAAATTTTAAAACCTGGGTCATGGAAAATGCTTCTCCTTTATAGATGTGACTCGTCTTTGACTGTGCTCCTTCTGACTACTAAGTTGCTATCACCACTCTTTAAAAAGTTGTGACTAGAAGTAGTAGTTTGTGGAAATATTAATAGCTAATGATGTTTTTTTAATTTGAAATGATGAAATTTGGTCTGTGAATTAAAATGTGTGAATAATTAAATTCCTGTGCTGTAAATTATAACCAGGTTTTCATTTTTCAAATTGTTCTGTCAATTTTTCGTTAGACTTGTGATAACCTTAATGTCATAAAACCAGGGAAGACTCAACAAATGTGTTGCTGTTCAGTTCTTAAAAGACAAACAAACCAGCCCCCAAATCCTAACTCTCCATTAGTTCGTTCTGGCCGATTCTCTGAGTATCAGCTCCTGCTTCATTTATGACGTCTGTCATCGTGAGTTCACAGAGTTCAGAAAATGAAAATATACTTTACGAAGCCTTTCTAGATGCTCTGATGTGCCGATAATAACCATGTTTTCCTTCATGACAGAGGGTGGTGAAGGCAGACATTGTGAACTACAGCCAGGAGCCCACGTCCAGACTCATCCACCCTCCGCGGAGCTCCGTGTGCGCAGTTCAGTGAGCCCTGGCCACCCCCGCCGCCCGCCCCGGGCCTCTGGGTGTTGTGGGTGGCGGCCCGTGGCGGTCACACTCGCCCTGCCCTCTCCAGCGCCCAGTGAGCCCCTGCCCGGGTCGAGTCAGCTGGGCAGGCGCCTGCGCTCAGCGAGAGCCCTTCTCGGGGTTAGGCTACTTCAGTGGAGAGTCGTGTAGCTGCTCAGTCTGTTCTCACTTCTCTCTCCCTGCTGTAAATTTTTTACAACAAGTAGGAAACTAGCCTAGTCTCGCCCTCCAGGGGCCCTCTGGTTTGAACTCAGACCTGGAGAGCACTTGCCAGAGTGCAGGCCGGAGTTGCTGATCTACTTCATGTGCACATACCCGAGAAGGCTTTTCTTGCTATTGTGAGTGAACATATATAAAGCTGTTATCAAACTGAAGATGCTTGAAGTAAAGCTGTCATAGAAATATTTTTTCATTTTCAAAAAAGGGCCTAAATTGTTTATATTGCAGCTCTAGCTCACAAAGTAGCATTTGATATTGTATTTCGGTGGCCATCCTGGTCAGTCTGCTGCGTGGCTCTGGGGGTGGCCTTGTGGGTGCTGGCCAAGCTCGGCCGACGCCCCAGGCTTCCTTCCGGAACGGGTGTGAGGACCCCCAGTGAGTCCCGACTCGTGTTGGATCACTGCGGGTCAGACAGTACCTGATGTTCGTTTTTTTTTCTTCTGCAAATAAATTTATTTAATCTACTACTTGTCAGAATGCTGTTTCCACAATCTTCCTTTGGGTTCCAGAAAAGCCGAGTGTATTTAGTGCAGGGTCAGGAGGAGCCTCATAAGCGGGTGGCCGTGGGCGTGGCCAGGGGTCTCGTGCCCACTGCAGAGAGCCCTGGGCCCGGCCTGTCGGGGCTGCACGACTGCTCCCTCCGTGCCACTGGTGGGTGCCCCGCCGCCCCGGGCCCGGGGCTGCACAGGCCCCCCGACCTGGAATTCCACCCCTCCAAATGCCTGCCTCCCACAGCCAGCCCGGAGCACCCGAGGGCTGGGCTTTCGGCCACAGCAGTTCCCAGCGGAGGCCAGGGCCCTCTGCCTGGTGGAAGACGCCCTCAGCCCGGGCTCCGCCCGCAGCCAGCGTGCCTGGGAGCGCTGCCTGGTGTGAATCTTGTTACTCTGCCCATGTGTTTTATTGTTTAATAAACCACGAGCTTATTGGGGGCCGTCCTGGGTCGCGTCCCTCCTAGGAGACTTGCCACACGTGTGCACAGAAAGTTCGGGTGCCTCATTTGACAGCGGGACGGGATTTCTGTGGGTCTGTTATTTCACATCCTGTGTGACCAAGGAAGCCGAGGCCTGGAGGCAAAAGGAACTTGCCTCCCAGGGTGAGGTGCAGCTCTGCAGGCCAGGTGACACTGGGAGCGACTTGGAATTTAAGAAGTTATAAAAAATGGAGGCTCTTCTCATTAAACAATGAACCCTTCAAGGGCTTCAGGTTACCTTTGTTCAACATCTTCCCACCAAACACAGCCGGCTAGGGAGAATCTGCTGTCCCTATATTCTTCAGGAGATTAAACAGCTCCAGAGGTGAGAGAAGCCTCAGCCCTCTAGGAGGTGCAGTGGGAGGAGAGGTGTTTGCCCTGGGTGCTGTCATTTTCAAATCTGACTGACGGGAGTCTGCTGTTAACTGAGCTCGCCAAGGCTTCCTGTTTCTTCTTTCTCTACAAAGATTTAGATCTATTTATTCATGCAAGAACTGGGGGACACGCCAGAGGTGCAGGGGGCGAGAGGATTCACCAGAGAGTGGGGAGCAGGACGGGCAGATTCACTGAAATCCACGGCTGAGGGGAGCAGCAGGGAGAAGAGAGGGGGCTGCTGCGCCCTGGGGGTCACTAACCTGAGGGGGATCGAACTCGTGCTGCAGGGGCTGCGTGGCTCCATAGTGCTGCCCCTGCACTTTAACCTGACACACCACCAGGGAGGGCGCACTTCATATTTCTTAAGGAGCTAGATCCCCCCTCACCCCCCAACCCCCGTGCTGAGAAAACTTCAGGTTCCTCAGAAAATGTCCCAATCCAGTTATTGCTGCACTCTAAAGCATCACCACACGCACGCAGCCTTGTCCAAGCACAGTGCTGCAGACCTTCCTAGAGGGGGCAGAGAAGCACCAAGGGCTGTGGTCAGACCCAGTGGCCCTGGCTTGCGCAGTGAGGGCTCCGAGGGGACTGAGCAGAGGGCGGGAGTGGACCACCGGGCACCTGTCCCCGGGGCCACTTTACTTCCACATCCACCCCGTGAGGAGGGTGCCGTTCACTGCCTCCTCGCTACACGCAGGGACACTGAGACACTGACAGTGACCGGGCCACGTCCTTCCTTGAGTGGTTGAACCAGGACTCACATGTCTCCACGGAGACGGGACGGACCAGGCCAGGCCCGGTGTGAGGCCGCCTTCCTCCCGCCACCGGGACGGGGACCGAAGTTGCCCAGCTGGTGGCCTCAAGGGCTGGCTGGACACCCGTCCTGGAGCTGGGGTAGCCGCTGGGGCTGTGGCTCGGGAAGGCAGGCACCGTGGCCGCCGGCAGCGTGTGGCCGAAGCCCCCTCCCACAGCCCCTATTACAATTTTCCCCATCCCTCAGGTTTACTTTTGAAGCAAAAGCATAGGATTCATGCTTGTTTTGCTTTGACTGTTACCTCTCCTGTCTACAGTTTTTAATTAAAGAAATTACAAGCCTCCCCATCCAGTTTAGGCACATTGTCTGAGGACGCATGCTCTAAAGTTTCAAACGCATTGTGGTCACTGCTACTGCTAGTGAACTTTTGAGAAACACAAAAGTTTCTCAGCCAGAACTGGTCATTGGACGCTGCTTTCAAGCGCACCCTCTATTATGTGTGGGAAACTGCTCCGGGTTGGTTTCTGGAGTGACCCAAAGGGCTCCTGGCTGTCTTAGGACTCCAGGAGGGGTCAGCCAGGACCCTGCAAAGTCCATCACCGAAGCCAGCGGCCGGTGCTGAATTAGTGTGTCCTTTGAAACAGAAGTGCTTCCTGTCCATACCCCCGGCAGCTACTGTCACGTGGGGCACCCCAAGAAAAGGCTCCCAAGATGCAAAGACGTGTGAATGCAGATGCTGGGGATGGCCAGCGGCCCCCAGCACCCACCTCTCCTGACGGCCCCGCCCTGATTTCCTGATGGAGCCGCCTGTCTGCCCCTTGAAGCCCGAAGAGCAGAGCCTGGCAGGCCCCACCCCGGGAGGGGATTGATTCCTCCTGGGCCTGGTGGTGCGAGATCTCTGAGAAAGCAAAGAACGGGAGGAAGGGAGAGAGAACAGCAAGGAGGGGAAGGGAAAGAGAAAAGACGAGGCAGAGACTCGGCTGCCCGCACCTAGGTAGAGGCCGTGTCCCGGGGCCAGCCTCTGGCTGCAAAGCAGCCCAGACAGGTGTTGCCCAGGCTGACCTTCAGCCCCCAACAGCTCCCCCCCTCCCCCCACCCTGCCCCCTGCCCTGCACCCGCCACCCTGGCGTCTGCCTTGTTCTAGTGCCCTCGTCCCCTGAGCTCTGCTCGGGCGTCCAGCGTGGTCAGTTTGGAAGCCTTGGCCTGTGCTGGCTCAGAGACCAGTGCTCACCTGTGTGACCAGCTGTACCACGCCGGGTCCTGCCAGCTGCTGGGCTGTCGGGCTGCCGCGGGACGGGCTGGGGCGGCTCGGTGCCAGCGTGTTGTCACCATCTGTCTTCAGGACACCCTGGGGTCCTGACACCTGTGCGACTTCCAATGGAAGCTGGAGGGGGATGCCCCAATGAAGGGGCCCCAAATTCCTAGCCACAGTTACCATGACAGGCAGTAAAACATTATTGCTGCCTGAAGTCACTGGGCCCTGGACCCTCACTGGGTAGCGAGAGGTGACTAGTCAGTGGGCCTTGCATATTGCTTATCTCTGACAGACGGGGAAACTGAGGCTCAGGGCCATTTAACAACCGACCTGTCCAGGCCCTCACTTGTCATCTCCCTGTGCTGCGTCAGCCGTTGCAAAGGGCTCCATGGTTTCGATGACTCACTCGACCCATGGGCTCTGTGAGGACGCACTTACGAGGGCCGTGAACGAAAGCGGGCGCTTGCAATCTCCATTTAGCCAGGTCGGGGCTGCTTCTGGCTTCAGACAAGTTTCGTCAAAGACTTAAGTCTCCAAATGAAAATGACCCTGGTGCTTGTTCTGATTCATATAAACATTGTAAAACTACTTCATACAGAGAAAAGTAAGAAAGCATAGCACCCATTCTCGGCTCTCACGGGCGGCATTTGGTGGAAAGCCAGGCTCTCCTCTCTCTGGTCCGCGTGTCAGAAGCTCGACTCAACGTGAATCTCGCGTATTAAATAACTTGAAATGAGCTCCCCCCCATGATGTCATCGACAGCCCCCCCCCGCCCCCCGGGCATCAATACACGCCATCGCTTTTAATGCCGTTTGGTTTTCAAGTGGACAGCGCTAATTCTTTGTCATCCTCTATCCGTACATTTGCTCCCCCCCCAGGTCTTCACTATTACTATCAGCACGGCTTTGCGGGACACCCTATTATATGGTTCTCTATTTGTCTTCCTTGATAAATTCCTAGAAATTGAATTGCTGGTTCAAAGCATATTTTTTATTTTCATACATTTTACCAAACTGCTTCAGAAATACTGCGCCACTTAACCCTGCGAGTGGCGGCTGACCTTGGCCTTGGCCTTCACCTTCACCTTGACCTTGGCACCACACAGGAAGGGCAGTTCCTCCTGTCAGTATCTGGGATATGCTGACTTAACTGGTCCGGACCCAGGCCCAGGTGGACAGGTGCTCATCGGGGACCACGAGCAGAGGTGGGCGCAGCCTCCGCCCAGAGGGAGGCCCTGGGGAGTCTCCCTGGGGCCTGGGAGTCGGTCTTCACACAGTCTGGTCACTCACCTGCTTCTTACCCAGCCAGCAGTACCCTCGGAGACCTTCCACTCTGGTCATTGATACAAACGTGAGTTGCATAAAGTCGCAGCTGACATGTGGCTTATTAAAACAAAGGGAACCGACCTCCACCTCAGAGCCTTTGTTTCCCGTATTTTCTCTCTTCCTCTGCAGTCCCAGTTCAGACCCAGGCTCCCTCAGGCCGAGGTGACGAAGCCTTCTCGTGCCCCTTGCGGCTGCCCGGCAGTGAACCCTCAGCTTTGCCTCTGAGCCTGCCGGCAGCCTGAGGTATCACCTCTTCAGCCCACGGCGCTCTGCAGCAGGGGCTGTCCCATCTGCCTC